GGGGGGGGGGGGGGGGGGGGGGGGGGGGGGGGGGGGGGGGGGGGGGGGAGGGTGGGGGAGGGAAGCAAATATTTGTAAAAGCTTGTTTTTTTAAAATTTTCAATAAAAAAAAGAAATGCAAGTAGAAAAAAAAATAAAAGCGTTACTCTTAAAAGTATTTCAAGTCGGTCACAATCAATTCACCTTTTTCTCTTCTCCCGCTCAGGGCTGAACCATAGCTCCTCCTTCTCGTGCGAAGCCCACAACGCCAAGGGAGTCAGCACATCCCGAACTGCGGCGGTGACAGGTGAGAGACCAGAAAGGGTGTGCAAAATCCCTTTGGAGGGACCCTAGTGCAAATGATCGGTGTTAAACAGGTGTGTGTGGGAACTGCCCAGCGGGAGTTAAAAGTACCATTTAAGGCGCACGTATTACGGATGTTTAGCTAGGATAGGACATGAGGGTTTAATGTTAATGCAGGATTCTATAAATAAGTAAATGAAATGCCAGTATGTGGTTATGTATTAAATCTTGGTATATTTTATGATGAAGGGCCCATTGACAAAGATGTGTGTGTGTATGTGAGAGAGAGTTTCTGCCTCCCTTTTAGTGGAAAATATCCTGTCCTTTTAATATTTCGTAAAATATTTCATTTTTCTGGGAGAAGGGTGGGTGCTAACTTCCTACAACAACTTTGATGCCATAGCTGACTGGGGAATTCTGGGAGTTGAAGTCCACAAGTTGTAAAGTTGCTAAAGTGGGAGGCCCATGCAGTAGAGAGCCATTTGTGCATCCTGGTTTATACGCTGAGGACCGTATCCGCAGTATATTTTCTGCACCTGCGGAAAGGTAGCCGTTCAGGCAGAAAAGGCCTGAAGCCGGCTGAAGTTCTTATCCGTCAACCTACCGACTGTCCTTATAAGTGGATGTCTGGACAGCGAAATCCTTTGTTTAGAAGCTGTCCAAACTTGGGAACTTTTAAGACTTGTGGACTTCAACTCCCAGAATTCTGCTGGCTGAGAAAATTGAGGAAGCCAGAACGATCCTCCTTTATAGTTTTTATTTTGTTTTATTTTAAATTTTGATCTTGCTGGCTGGATCTGGAGAACGTGCAACCTCCAGAAAGGTTGATACCCTTTGGAATGGCCTTTAAAGCAGGGATGTCCAAACTTGGGAACTTTTAAGACTTGTGGACTTCAACTCCCAGAATTCTGCTGGCTGAGAAAATTGAGG